TGAAACCATATTACGTATTTCACACTCCCAATATACTTCCACATTCACTCCCAAATTCTTAATAAAATTTAAACGTTGCTGGTCTTTTTGTCTCTGTTGTCCTGCTGTTAGACCTGTTGGGAGTTTAATATCATCGTCTGGGTAACATTTGAGGCAACCATGCCAACAGCAACCATTGACTTCTATGGCCAGTTTCTTTTCCTTGACCCAGCCATCTAACTTATATTTACCCATTTTTTTCTCTCCGTTTTCTGAGTGTGCTGTTCTAATGTTGACCGTATTCTTTTCAGCATACCACTTGAGAAACCGGAGTGCCAACAAACTTTGGTTGTCCACATTATCGTACCCTTTTTCTGGTACAATTCCAACATGTTGTGGCCTGAGGTGATTCATCCTGAAATGCTTCATGCAGGCTGAAGCTATAGTCATGGACTCGCGAAGAACATCGAGCCCATTCGAAACCTCCAAAAATTCTTTCCTGAAGGCTATGAGTGCAGCCATTAAAATATCCACATCGTTGGTACAATAGACTGCTAGTTGTTCATCCAGATTGAAAGGCTTGTTTTTGTGTTGTTCGAACCATTTATCGAACTGAGCCCTTTTTTCAGGCATCATCCCATTAGTTAGGTAGTCTTCGATAGTTGGGAAGATTTCCTTTCCATAATTTTTCGGATTGTTGGCCAGGTGGGGGAAGAAAGGTTTGTCTTCCACTTGTAGGGCAAAAGCTGGTACAAGAGAAGCCAAGGGCATAGGTATTAAATTATACGTGTCGTGGAAGATGATCCAACATTTTTTATCATTTTTCACCTTCATTTCATACATTTTGTTTCCATTCTTGATCATATCCGGAGTTAGTCCTTGGAGATACAATGCTTTGAAAACAAGGACCATATCAAACCTTCCCCCAAAATGAGAGAAGGCTACTGTATCAGATGAAAAACTGGTGATCCAAGATACAAAATCGGTCAGGGGATCGTTTGTAACGTTCTGTTGATCCACTTGAGTGTTGGAGAATGGTTGGTGGGAGAAGGTTATAGTTCGATCCTCTCCGCAAACAGAACAGTTGTTGTTTAAACCGTTTCCAATATACTCGGGGCAATTAATTTTTGCTGAAATAAAATTAACTTCATGTAATTTGCCCTTTTCGCCTTGCTTATGCTGCATGGTTTCGAAGTCAAAGGCGATGATCCGGTACGGTTTGGGCTTCCGTGGAGTTAGAGGTTTTATGTAACAACCTCTTTTTGGGTCGTGAAAATTGAAACATGTGTTGCAATATCGTTCAGAACACACGTGTCCATTCCTACCATTCCGATTGTTGACAGTTACATTCCATACTACTCCGCATTTCTCACATTTCTTGGAGTTGTTGCAAAAATTGGATCTAAGGTGATGAGTGTAGCAGTCTTCATTAATAAATTCCTTGTAGCACCCATTGCACAGTTTGGAGTAGTTATTCAAAGGTTGACAAGGAAAACCAGGTCCGATCTTGAGCAGTTCTGACACTTTGCTTTGCAGGAGGCTGAATGATATTTTGACCGGTTGTAACTTGTTTCACAGGCAAGGCAATATGCTTCCCCAAATAAATCACTTGCCCTTCTAACCCCATCAAAATGATTATTGTTGTAATAAAGCAAAATAGGGGTATTGTAATTTTCAATCCCATATTTAAAAATAGGTTTCTCGTCGAATTCCCCAAAAATAAAAACTTTAAATCCACCTTTATTCCTTGAATTCCAAAAGTCCACAACTTTGGGCGTCCATTCTTTTGCATCGTAGGTTGATTGATCAAAAGGTGCTCCCACATTTTCCATAAGATTTTTGGTGTCCTGCTCGAATCGATGGGCCATTCCAAATCGGCTATGCATATAGTCATAGAATTTGCTTCTCGACCAGGAACATATTGAATAGACATAAGAAGCAATAAGAGCATAGAATAAACAATAGTAGTCGGAATTATGAATTTTGATGAGATTCTTGTCGCTGATCCGACGAGTCTTGCCACCACTTCCATTGATGTTACGTGTAGTTTGGAGATTCTTTTTGTCGATACACGTAACTGAAACTGAAAAATTTTCACCCCAGAGCATTCCATTATCCTGTTTCTTGGATTGGGCAACTTTTAGGAATTGATTAAGAATTGAATCCACCGTGTTGGGAGTAATTTCACGGATTGGGATCCAAACGTCAGATTCCAGCAGTTGACTGCTAATGGTACAGCCAAGTTGATCAGGGTCAAGTTGGTTATCCCGGCTGGTTTCTAGTGTCTGATCAATACATTTTTGAAATAGATCCCTTAGCAATCCCTCTGGTTGATCGGGTAGACCAGTTATTAAAAATTTAGTAGAAAGTTTTGTAAGGTTAAATTTTCGGGTAATTTTGGTTTCTTCCCCCAAAAGTTTTAAAAAATCACCTCCTCCTGATTGTAGATCAAGTAGACTGTTGATCATGAAATTCTTTGACTTCTTCGAAGGTGGAGGAGTCATTGTTCAATAATATAATAAAAATAGAGTCAAAAATATAAGAGTAATTCAAATTAGCAAGTTTCCAAGAAATTTTCAAGAATGAAGAAGGAAATGCAAAATCCTCTACTTTTAAGGATCCCAAAATGATTAATGTTTGTCAGAATAGGAATTTCTTTCCATTTTCCTTTTATTTCCAGTCGGGAAGAGAAGAAATTTGCATAAAAAGGGGAAACAAAGGAATTTCAGGAAAATAAAGAGCGCGAGCAAATGGAGTAATGTTGAAAAGTATTTTAAAAAGGAAAAAGCTCAAAATATTTCGTAATATTTAAAATTTGCATAAAAGAATTTTTATGCATCGAGTATCAGCCCCTTCACCTAACTTTGCCACCTTCCCTTTTGAAAACCTTCCTTCGCTCTGTAATGAAACCCCCAGGGATATATATGGACATGTGTTTTGTTGGGGTCTGATTTGCCTATATATTATGCTTATAGCAAGTTTAATCATTTATCAACTTCGCTCAATTTTTTGGCTAAAAACTTATAAAAATAATGTACAACACCCAGATAACAGCAATATTGAGGTCAAACCCACTAACCAACCACCTATTCCAAGGATGCTTCCCGTGTAACAATTTACCCCAGCCTTTGGTAGGGAAAGTTTTAGTTGTAAACTTGGACCCCCAAGGATATCAAGGTTCCCACTGGATTTCAATTTATGTACAAACAAGTGGACAAGTAGTCTACTTTGATAGTTTAAATTTACCCACAAGCATATGCATTATTGATTCATTTTTAAAAGGTTTCTCTGTTGTTGTTAGGAATTTAAAAGGATACCAGTCTTTCACTTCCGATTGTTGTGCTCATCATTGTATTTCTTTTATTTATTTTCTTTCGAAAGGCTATACTTTCACCCAATATCTTAAAATGTTAGACAAGATGATATATTTGTGCAAAACATTGTAAATAAAATGATTAATTAGTTTCTGTCAGAGGACGAGTATAAATAGTCGTCGAATTCATACATTCAGGCATTTATAATGTCTGAGGAAAATTCTCGTAAACCCGCTTATTTTGTCTTTGACAAAAATTTATGGAAGCTTACCAAACCAAAATATGTACTTCAGTTTTATTTTTGCAAAGAATGTAGGGAAAAACTATTCCATTCGGAAGATAAATTAGTGAGATATGAGAATGGGGTCACTGTAAAGTTTGATTTATGTGAGGATTGTGTTACAAAGAATTGTCGAGTGACCGACATGTGTGTATAAAAGGACAGAATTTTTACCAAAATATTCATTCTTCAAAAATGGTTCTTGTTATCGAGGAAATTGCACGCTTTCTAGACTGTTCCGTCCGAAGCCTAGCCGGACATTTAGATAATCCTCAAACAAGAGTTTGTGTGCTAACAAAATTTTTGGATCGTAAAGTCCGCACAACTTACTTAAATAAGGACTTTGAAAGAAAGACCTTTCGATTTGGAGGTCTTACACGAAAAGGCGCAAATAGAATTCGCGCCTATGGACGCCTAAGACGTCCCTATAATATTAGTATAGCGCAACATTTCTACACTAGACATCGTATACAACTTAAGAACCCGTACCTAAATTGCGTAATCGAGCATCGACCTTGGGCTAAGGATCGTTTTTATCCTATTGAACTACTAGAATTTGTTGATGATGAGATAGAGAAACTCCCAAGTTTGTCTTCGGAATTTTCAGATAAGGCAAAATTTTCTCCTCCAGATAGTCCTGAAATATTTATGGACAAAGAATTTGAAGACGAAATGGAAATATATAGGGGAGACCTTAGCCAGGATGAATGGTAAAACACGCGCACCCTTGAAACACGCGCACCTAAAACACACGCACCCCCATACACACGCGTGTGCACTGAAAATTGATGAAAATTGACAATTTCATCTTCTTTTCCTTAATTTTGTAATTTTACCCCTAAAAAGTGCAACACCTTTTCTTAAATTCTGAAATCTACTACTTTGTCTCACTAATTATGTAAATTTCCCCCTAAAAACTATGTCTTCCTTCCCTTAATTTTTTAATATTTTCACTTTAACACCCCATATCCCTCTAAATAAATAAAAATTCAACTTTTTCTCAAATCGAAACCCGACCATACTACTTTTTCAGTATTTTTTAACCCCGAAGAAACAAAAAAATAAATCATAATAATTTAAAAAATAATTTCTCAAAATAGGAACAAAATCTAAAGAAAGTAAAGAAAATAATAGAGGTAAAAATTATGGCAAATATAGAAAATAGGGGAACTAATACAATTAAAAATATTTTAAAAAACAACTATAAGACTAGAAAATTTTGAAGACCCGACCCGAAGAAAATTTTGGAAACCCGACCGGACTTTTTCAACCCACCCTATGACTAGATATTAAATATATAAAAATAAATTATTAAAATTATTTAAATTACTAGAAAATAATTAAATTAAAAATAAATTAAATTTTTAATAAAAAACATTAAAAATAATAGAATTTGCCTATTTTATATAAAATAGACATATCATGAAATGAAAAAGAGAAGTGTAGGAGGAAAAATATTATTCAAAAAGAAAAATATATCGGCAAAATAAAGAAAAATTTTGTGGAAAATAAACTATTAAAAACAATGCAATATAATAAAAGGATTATATTTTGATGAGAAAAGGATTTGGAGGCAAAAGGATATAAAAAGAAGAAAAGAAAGTCGCAGCAGACAAAGGAAATTTGCATGAGTGAGTCACAACCAAACCAAAACCCAATAGGTTTTGGTTTGGTTGTGAAGAGTAAAGAAGAGGGAAAAGCTCCAGCAGCTTTAAGTTTGGGATGGGTACCTTTTATTAGAGAGGGGTGGGTGGGGAAATAGAGTCTCAAAACCTTTTGGTTGGTGGGGAGGGGTCGGGAGTGAAATGATTTAACACCTTTTAATTTTGATTGATTAACTGACAGCCCCTTCTGCCCCCGCGACACGGAGGGGGGGTTAACTACTAGTAGGGAACAAAACTGATTATTAACAGTCAGCGGTATCGGGATTTAGAGAAAAACCCGGGATCGGGATTTAGGAATAGTCATCCCGATCCCGATCCCGGATCCCGACACGGGATCTGGATTAGCCGAAATCGGGATCGGGATTTGGACTGGAGATCCCGATCCTGATCCCGAATCGGGACCGGGATTAAAAAATCGGGATCGGGATTTACTAAAAATTTTTTTAAAAATTTTTATTTTCTTCACATACGACTCAGTATAATTCTAAAATTGCCGCTGCGGTGCTGAAATATAGAGTTTAAGTCTCATAAACACATAATTTACTTTCCGGTTGGGGATTATGGGGAGATAAGGGGATTAAGGGAGATAATTTAGGGGATTAGAGGAGATAAGGTAATGGGGGGGGGGATAAATGGGATTGGGCTTCTATTTTAAGCGCCGTAGGCTAAAATTTTGAAAAATTTGGAAGGCCAAGGTGCCAAATTTCCTCCCTTTTAAGCGTCGCAGGCAACATTTTTTAATTTTGGAAGGCCAAGGGCATTCAAGTCTAATTCAAGTCTAACGATTAAGTGCGTTACGCTAAAACGTAGACGATTAAGAACTGACATTAAGGTATTAAGTGATATATTCATTTAGCAATATCTCTTAAGCCCTCGATTTCTCTTCAAATCTAACTCAATCCCTGTAAATCCACCGATACTCCTCTCAATCCCTCTTGATCCCTCGATATCACACCAAATCACTCAATATTTCATTAAAGTTGTAAAGACAGCTTTGTTCATTTTTGCGGCGCCGCAGACGAAAATTTTGAGATTTTGGATGTCAACATGCCAAATTTTTTTTATTTTCTGCGCCGCAGGCGAAAATTTTTCTTACTTTCATGCCTCCCCTCTTTTGTTAACTTTATTTCACAGACTTCTAATCAATTTGTAAAGTCGGGATTTGCATCGGGATCTGATGCACATCCCGATCCCGATCCCGGATCCCGGCTCGGGATTGAGAATGACCGGGATCGGGATATTTATTTCGGGACCGGGATCAGAAAAATCGGGATCGGGATTCGAAAAACCCGGGATAATCCCGCCCGATCCCGACCGGGATCCCGATCCCGCTGAACTCTAGTTATAAGTAGGGTTGTTGGTATCAAACCGAACCGAAACGCCTTTTAATTTTATACTCGTAAATTTATATTTAAATATGTATTACCAAAACTAAAAAAGTGAAAAAAAAATTTTTAATAAATGAGAGGGATGATAGAAAAAAAAGAAATTTTTTTGCCTACTATCTTCCAAAATTTTCAAAATCTCATATTCTCTATAATAAGGCCATAAATAAAAATAATAAAGCCAGTTCTGGGTCCCAGATATCCCGGTATCCCTCAAAGTCCTCTTAATCCTCCAACACCTCCGTAACTCTTCTGGTATTCCCCGTAATCACAAAGTAGATACTTAAATCCCCTTAATTCTTCCAAATCTCCCTGTATCGCCGATATCCCGCCAAATCATTATCTATCATTAATCTTATATCAAATCAGCACTCGCTGACATGGAGTAATATCTCAATTTTTAATTGTAATAATCATGAAATGTTAAAAAATTTTTTCAAAAAAGTCTGGATTTTTACCCAATTTTCAGAAAAAATTGCCGATCTCGTGTCGCAATCCGAGATTTGTTTTTCAGGTCTTAATTTCTCGTCCCGGGTTCGGTCTTCTTCTAATATCTAGATAGATATTAGAAGAATGCGCATCCAGTTCCCTGTTTGAGTTTACAGTTTTATACTAAGTTAGCCCTATTTTTTAAAATTGGTTTAGAGAATCTTGAATCGACTCATAATTTTTCATTGGATTCTTAAACTTTTCATTGGTTTCATAACTAGACAATAGACAAAATAAACTTATCGAAAGTTATTATAAAAATTAAACAACACTAAGATATTTTGCTTAAATTTTTAGGAATAAAATTTACTAAAATTAAATTTTAGGATTTTTTGAAGCTGAACCCGTGTGATTTTAGTCAACGTTTTTCCACTGATCATGTTCCGGTTACCTGATCAATTACTGGTTTTAGGTTTCAGTCGGTTAACCGTTTGTGTCTGATTATTTAACATATCAAAACAGACTAGAATCTCTGTCTTTTTTGCGAGACCGTTATCCTTACTTGTCTTTTTATTAATAAATAATAAATTTTAATTATTTAAATTCTATTATAAATATTTTATAGAGAAAAAAAAACTAGCTATTTCTTTAATAAAATTTTTAAATTAAAAAATGCCATTGGAAATTGCCAGGCATAAGGGAAGTTCCTCGTTAGAGGGAAAGGATATTGATTTAACTCTTGACAACGTCAATATCGATTCTACAATGTGATTTTAAAATTTTAAATTTAATTAAAATAATTTAAACAATTATAGCAACTTAAATTAAAACAAATCTTGTAGAAAAGTTATTTAATTTTAGTTGATTTATTATTTTATTTATTATTGTTTTATGTATCACAGTTAATTTCGATTTATAGGTTTTATCAAGCTTAGCAAAAAACTTAAAATTAATTGGGAGTTTAGGTATTTTTAGATTATAATAACCTCTAAAACATATTCGGAACTCATTGTAAGATACAAACTTGCTAAAAAATTATCTTATAATATAGGGAGTCTTAAATAGAGGGTATCGTTTAGGCAGCACATTCCTCCCTATCTTAATGGCCAACTAAAATTTTTGAAAATAGTGTCGTCTGCAGGGATGTGCGCCAGAATTTTCGCGTGGCGCGCCAAACGCCAAACGCCAATTTTTCAAATTTTCAAATCACGCCAAACGCCAGAACGCCAAAATCGGCAAAAAACGACGCCAAAACGCCAAACGCCAAACGCCAAAACGCCAAAAATTTTATTCAACCAGATATCCTCTTTAACCTCCCGAAGTAAGGGACTTATAAAGGATTAAGGAGGCAGTAGTGGACTTAGGTAGATTAATAGGATTTGATGGATATTGGAGGATTGAAGAACAGTGCATTAAGATCCTTCTATTAGTGCCACAGGCGAAAATTTCGTGATTTTTTGAAAGCTGATAAGTAGACTTCTTCCTTTTTTGTGCGCCGCAGGCGCAAATTTTGAAAATTTTGGAAGGCTGTGGGCAAAAAAATTTCATTTTTTTTTGAAAACACTTCCCCCATTTATTTGGAAAATTTCCATCTTTAGGGGTGTATAATTTTGGCGTTTTGGCGCGCCAAAAACTGAAAATCACGCCAAACGCCAGCACGCCAAAATCGGCCAAAAATCACGCCAAAACGCCAAAACGTCACGCCAAAACGCCATGACGCACATCCCTGGTCGTCTGTATTTATTATTAAAACAGATAAAAGTATGTACAATAAATCCAGTTTAATTTACCTGCTTAATAATTGTAAACATGCCTGTCCTTAATTGAGAAAAGGAAAAAATTAATAAGAAAAATACATAAAGGTAAATAAGTAGTGTTTGCGCAGCTAATAAAAATTTTTTTAATTGTCGGAAAGACATAAAAAAGAATTGTCAATATTTTTACATGTGCTATTTTAATATCAATTGTATATTTTTAGCATATTGCATCATGTTTGTAAATGCCCTTTTATTTTTTAATACAAAAGTAGTTACCCCACTCCAAATCGCTCCAAATCGCTCCAACCCCAAATCGCTCCTACCCCAAATTGTCCAATCCCAAATCGCTCCTTAAATTATTAAAACCAAATCGCTCTCAAATTTTAAGTAATAATTAAAACCAAATCCCTGCAATTAATTAATTAACTATTTAAAACCAAATCGTTACTTTTAATTTTAAAACCAAATCGCTCCCTCTTTCTTAAAACCAAATCTTGCGCAATACATAATTAAACCCAAATCGCTCCCACCCCAAATCGCTCCCACCCCAAATCGCTCCACCCCCAAATCGCTCCAAATCGCTCACACCCCAAATCGCTCCCACCCCAAATCGCTCCACCCCCAAATCGCTCCAAATCGCTCACACCCCAAATCGCTCCAAATCGCTCCCACCCCAAATCGCTCATTAAAAAAGTATGAATCGGAGCCCTGATTTAATTTAATGAAATTATTATCATAATATTTTAAAAACTCATAAATGCCTACTCGTTTTTTATAAATGTGATTGCCAATTCATTACATATATCGGTAATTCCATGTACTAATTTATTTCGGTTATTCATTTCAATAATTCTATCATTCCACATAGATATAATTGAAGTATGGCGAATATTGAGGAGAATCTGATGAATCTGGCATGTTAAAATTTGACCAATTAAAATATTTTTTATTTAAATTTATATAATTTTATATTCTAAATTTTAATATACTATATTTTTGAATAATTAATAAAGAAATGTAAAAAATTATTTTATTCACTAAATATAAAAAATTGGAGAAGTAACTGGAAAAATAAAACAAGACTGGACAAAAATCGGAAAACAAAATCGGAGACTGAAAGGAAATAGAAGAGAGCTGGTATTTTTATTTACTTTACGGTAATAAAATGTATTTTGATGGAATCAAATTCTTCAAAAATGAGTAAAAAACTCAATGCTCGGAATTAATGTAATAAAGCTTATTTTTATAAATAAACTAAAAATGAGAAGAAATGTAATTAATTTTCAATGATTATGGCAAATATAAAAACATTTTGGGAAAAGAAAATGTGTTTGTTATTGAAATGTAAAGAATAAGATATCAATGATTATGTAAAACTAAACCTATATAATATCCAAGTTTCCAATCAAAACCAACTTATTATCAGATCCTAATTTATATAGTATTTTTCAAAAAATAAAATTCTAAAAATTAATTAAAAATGGCGGCAAATTATTGGAATAATGAAATAATTATCGACGAGGTGGAAGAGATAGGTTTATTAATTTCTAAATTTAAGAAATTTGATATCCTACGGATATAATTTTCTTTTAAATAAAATTATAGTAAAGCAGATGGGCTATAGCTATTTCTCTCCTTTAGCTAGTGCAATAGGTTATTCGGCGGCTGGGAGCGAACCAGCATCTTCAGTAGACCGGACTGATGTGTTATCCATTACACCACGCCGCCTACTGCTCAGCCTTAGGAAATTAATAGCTATATGCTTTACATTATTAATCTCTTTGTAAGATCTTCATCATAATCAAAACTCATCAAATTATCAAAGCTCGTTATATTCTCCATACGATAATGCTGAGCATGATAATGGAGTTTTAACTCCAAATATGAGGCCAATTTATTTCTCAGCAGAGCAAACTCCACCTGTTTATCCATATGTAACACATCATTATTGGCTTCCAAGTAATTTTAAATATAAAAATAACTAGCTAACTAAATCTCCTAACCATTATCTCCTATACTTGCCCAAGAAAATATAAAAATTTTTAATTTTCAGAAATTTTAGATTTTCAGAAAAAGAGACCATAATTAACGTTTTTAGTAATGTAAGTCTTATATACATTTTGTGGAAAAATTCATTGGATAGAGTGTAATAGCTCTTAGTAAACTAATAAGATACATAAATTTAATAGAACCATTTTGAATATCTTTATATATTTAGCTGGTGGTTGGCAGCAAATCAGTGTGCCGCATGAGTTTTTTGATCCAAACGTACCACCTCCCGTGAATTATCAAATAGAAGATATTAGACAAATTCCACTACCGGAAAAAAAAAGTTTTTTCATCTGAAAATTTAAAATTTTCCGATGTATGCGTTCTTTGTCAGAGTGATAATACTGAGGTCTGTGTCAATTGGAAGCCTAATACATGCGGTTGTGTTTCTGTTTGTTCAAATTGTGTAGAAAATGATATTCTGGAAAAATTGGCTAAAATGGAACTAGTCAAAAAAAGATGTGACTGGATACCAGGATTTGATCTAATGAGTGTAAAAGATATAATAAAGTTTTTACCACATTTAAATATGAATGATTTATTGAAATGTTCATTATGTAAACGTGTTTATACCTCTTTGGTACGACGATCTCGCCGTACCAAAGAGAAAATACCAATATACACATAATTTTTCTTATTTTTAACCTAGAATGTTTTTTAAATTAATAAACAAGTATTCAAATTATTATTAAAAAGTAGGTCAAAAAAGGCTATTAATTCAAAAATTTTTATAATTTTTTGGAAAAATACGAATTTTTGTTTTAATTTCTATTCAAAGAATATTTTTCTGATGATCAAAACAATATCATATATAGTATTTGCTTAATAATGGTCAATGATTATAAATAAGATATAAAAGATTCGAAAATTTCACTAATCTATCATTTTAAAATATAATGTCAAACCCTCCTAAAAAACCAAAATTTTTTATTGAAAATATATTAGATTTAAATAATGAAGAAAATGACACTTGGAAAAAAGATGAAAAACTAGATAATTATGTTGAAAAAATTGATTCAATTAAGTCTTATTGTAGAAAATTCAAATTGAATAAATTGGTTTCAAAGTTTTCTATAAAGCTAATCCCTACTAATCCTGAAAACCTTCTCCGTATTGTTTTACACGATTGTGTTCAACAAGCAATTACCGATGCACGCAACCAAGAAATTTTTGTCGATCATCTTGGTGCAACAATATCATCACCGATCTTAGACAACGATATTTGGATACCTGTACGCAAATTAAATGATGATACTATTGAAAATATACTTCAACGTTTTTTACTTGTATCACAATCTAAAGCTGAACGAGGATCAATCCTAGGTGAACCATTTACTGTTTCAATACATTCACTTGATGTTTCATCACTTCCAAAGCAAAAATCAATAAAAGGAAAGGCATTTTCAGATTCGGCTTCTGTTTCACAAAATAAAGAAGAAAGTTGGATTATTAAAATAAGAAACACTAATGACAACTATTGTCTATTTTATGCTCTTGAATTAACAAGAAAATATGTTATAGATGAACTAGGACATAAAAGAAATTTTGGAAAGTATCATAGACAACAATTAGATAAACAAAGTTCTGATATTATCGATCTAATGATAGAAGCAAATATTCCTTTGAATGAAAATATATACGATGCAAATGAATATGTACCAACAATTGTAAATTATTGGAATAAAAATTCGGACAAATATAAATTTAAGGTTTTTATATTTGGTGATAAATCTGAAGATAGATTAAAATATGAATATGGCCCAGATGATTTTAATACACCCATACCAATATATCACTCAAATGGTCATTTTGACGGAATTAGAACTGTAGGTGCACAATTTGGAACACATATGCAATATTGTTACACCTGTAAGAAGAAATACAGAAAAGCAAATGAGCATTCTGGAAACTGTAAATCCCGTTGTCGACTTTGTGGTCGAGTTGGGATTCAAAGACCCTGCCCATCTACAGAGGACTTTAACGTAGAATGTGATGATTGCGGAAAAACCTTTACAAATAGTGATTGTTTCGATTATCACAAGTCAAGCAATCAATGTAGAAGATCAAAGCAATGTGAAAGGTGTGGAGTCATTTGGAACACTAGAGATCACAGAAGAAACCCAGAGAAAAAACATATTTGTGGTCAGAAATGGTGTTTAAAATGTTTACAGTATCATTCATCAGAAAGAGGATGTTTTATTCGTCCACTTGAACAAAAGAAACCCACACCATACCGATTGATAACATTTGATTTTGAGTCTACACAACACACAAGACTTCCTGAACGTCAGGATCACAGACTTCATCAAGTAAATTTCATTGCAGCTACAATAACATGTACCTCATGTATGGAGGATGAGACTTTGGAGAAATTTCCTACATCGTCATGGAAATTTTTGTAAAATTTGCGGTAAAAATAGAAACATCACTTTCTCACATCGTCCGTATGAACAAACTTTAGTGGATGAACAAAGAATTTCTGATGATCCATTGCATGAATTTGTTAATTGGCTTCTATTTGAACTTGATGGAAAATTTGTATCCATTGCATTCTCTCACTTTGGTGGAAGATATGATATGGTAATGACATTTAGAGAAATATTCATAAGAGGAATAGTACCTTCTATGATTAGAAGAGGAAATAAACTCTACGAATTAAAAGTACCTAAGAATAATAAATGTAATGAAGTAATATTCAGAGACTCGTATAATATTTGTCCAGTTGCTTTGGGTCAACTTGTTGGAGCATTTGATCTAAAAATACAAGAGAAGCAATTTTTTCCACATTTGGCGAATAACCCAAGCAATTATGATATCACATTAGAACGACTTCCACCAAAATCAGATTATCTTTATGGAGGAATGTTGCCTGAAAAGCAAAGAATATTTGATAAATGGTACTCCGAAGAAAAGAATAATTCGTTCAACTTAAACGAAGCATTAGCTGAATATTGCATGAATGACGTACAAATTCTAACTGAAGCGCTTTTGGCTTTCAGGCAGAAATTTTTGATAATAAGTCAACCAAAACATAAAAATTCATATGGTATTGACATTCTTAAGGATGCAATGACAATTGCATCTGCATGCATGAAACATTTCCGTCTAAACCATCTGAAAGAAGAACACTTGGCAATTGTTCCAGAAAAAGGATATGATACCTGCGATACACAAAGTGAAATTGCAATGAAATATCTTGACTGGTATTCAGAAAATTACAACGTCGAAATACAAACTGCTCATTCGAAAAATGGTGAATATAAAGTGGAAGGCAAATACAAAGTTGATGGTTATATTAAGGCAGAAGATAAAGCAATTGAAGTTAATGGGTGTGTATGGCATGCATGTCCAAAACATTATGGAAATAATCTTGATTTTGTTTTGCCTAATGGAAAAACGGTTGGTGTTGTTCGAAAAGAAGATAACGCTAGACTTGAAATTCTTCGTAAGAACATTCGACAGGTTGATTTAATTTGGGAATGTGAAATAAAAGGACAGCTAAGGAAGAACAGAAAATGAGAAAAAGTTTTGAAAATTATCTTGACAAGGGTCCAATCAAATTACGTGATTGTTTCTTTGGTGGTAGAACTGGACCAATTCGTCTACATTATGAAGCAGATGAACAACATAACATTTCATATCTTGACTTCAATTCTCTCTACCCTTCAACAATTGCGACAACATCATTTCCAATTGGACACCCAAATGTCATAATAATTCCTCAAAAAGAACAGTGTGTAAATTGGACATCAGAAAAGCAAATTCCAATAAAGGGAATTCTAAAAGTATTTTTAATACCACCACAAAAAATTTATGTTCCAGTAATGCCAGTGAAATTTGATGATCGACTTCTTTTTCCACT